GTAGAACATGACATTTTTGTTTGTACTCAATCAACAAATAAAGAAGATGTGGTATTGTCTACTCATATTAACGAGTATAAATATTGGCATAAAAATATTAAAAAAAATAAAATTCGGTAAAAATTGTTTTAAACTGCGTAACGTGCGTAAATGATACAAGTAATTGGCTGTGGATGACGGTGTGTGTGGGGGCGTTTTTACTACCTATTCACACCCACACACATCACCCACATCCTCAAGATGGTTTTCTGTATTTAAAAAAAATTCTTTTTGGCGATATTAGAAAGAAATTTTTTTTACGTCGAGCTGTACAGTTTAGTCATGTAAAAGAACGTTTCGATGTGTTATGCATTACTATCACGGTTGATCAATCTACTTAACCGTATTTGCAATGTAAACGGTCGATATATATACTAGACTCTCACTGTACATAGACTATATCATTCATCTGAAACAATCTTATAATAATATAGTTTTGGTCGGCTTGTGTTGCTATAAAAAGAAAAAGTGCATCTGATTGCAACTCGATAATATCTATCTACAAATCAAATAAATAAGTATATGCTAGGAATCTACTAAAATCATTCTCTCATTCATACAGTATAAATTTTGAATTGGATCTGACATTGTATTATTAAAATAAAACATCAAAATAGTATAAAAATATTTGTCAGTTCTCTTCATTTTTCTTCTGTTCATATAAAGTTTGAATATTATCATTTGCTATTAATTTTTGTAATTGTTTTAATGTTACTAAATTTTCGACGATATTAATAGTGACATTTTTACAATTTCTAATATTCAATATATTTAAACGTTTTAATTTTCGACATATAGAATGTATTGTATCATCATTAATTTGTGTTTCACTTAAATAAAGTCGACGAAGTGTTTTACTATATAATATAAGTGTATTTATAAATACTGGAATTGATTTTATACGAAAACAACCATTTAGATTAAGTTCAACTAAATTTGGACATAGTTCAGGTAAGTATTTAATATACATCGATTGAAGACATGTAGAATTTTCAAATGAAAGTATTTCAAGTTGTTGAAAATTTGATGAAGTTTTAGATACTTGAAAAAAAGCTGATGGTCCTGATATATCCGGTGCTAACATTTCACATTTTGTTAAATAAAGACCTTGAAGATTCGATGGTAAACAAGTGATATTTTTTATAGTTCTTTGATTAGGATGAAAATCATATTGTGATATATGCAAATAACGAAGATTTGGATAAGATATTTGTATTAAAGTACTTAATTGTTCAGTAAATAAAGGTAGTTTACCAGAATTATTATGAATTGATCCACCAGAGATTTTTAATACTTCCGTACAATTACGAGGAAAACGATGTAATAATTTAAGTAGTTGTCGATTTGAATATGGTTTTGATGTTAAATCAATAGTTGTCCAGAATTCCTCGTCATAAGCAATACAACGAAACCATTTGCAAACACTATTTCAAAAAAAAACAATGATAGAATTAGATTGATGAAAGAAAAAAAAACAAACCTAGCAGCAACAATCAATTCATCTATTGTTAAATATTTAAATATAGAAAGAAGTGTTTCATCAGGTAATTGAAATATTAATCCATCTTGTTCAATATATTCTTCTCGTAATTCTCTTTTTCGTTTTTTACGAGTATTTAAAGACATCTTGTGAATTTGACAAACAAAAAATACTCAACTGAATCTTTTTTTATACGAGTATAGTATAGTCATTACTCAATCCATATGCAATTTTATAAAATTGTCCAATGAAAAAATAATAGGATGACGCTACTTTTCATATATATTTTGTGTCTTTTTGAATTTTTCTTTACCATTAGATATAATAAATAGAGATATTTGCCTTCGATTGATCATTGAGTATAGATATTTTATTTGGAAAAACATACACAATGAGAAATGTATAAAAAAAAATATCAATGCTAGAGTAACATAATAAAAATAAAAATACAGAATAGGTTAAAGATGTATAATAGCTTGATTATTGAATTGGATAAAAATTTATATACAGTAGTTTATTTTCTTACATCAGTACCTTGAGTATTGGCTGCTTGATAATCAGCTGTAGCTCGTTTATAATGGTCATTAGTTTTTAAATCATTTTTATTACCACTCATCATTTTATAACCGGCGTCTAAATCAAAATATGATGTGAAAATATTGAATAGTTTATTTCAACTCACAAATAGTAACAGCAAGAACAGCAATTGTACCAAATTGACCAATTGGTGTACTCATAAAGGATTGTTGTTCATTTGAATCTCTAAACAGAAATTATATTGATAGATAGATACAAGAAAACTAAATTTACTTTGATGATGATGATGAACTTTTGCTGCTACTACCACTTGACGATGATGATGATGATGAAGAAGATGTTCGTTTTGTTTTATCAGTTTCTTTATTTTTTAAATCAACAGTTTCATGAGATAATGGTGGTGCATCAGAACTTGTTTTTGTTGGATTTGTATGATCTGATTTTGTTGAACTTTTTGGTAAAACTGATGAATCACCTTTTTTTGTTCCACCTGATTGTGAGACTGTTTTTGTACTACCTGATATTGGTACACCCTTCAATAAATATATATATATATTTTTCGAGAAAATTTGTTTTTTAAATCATACTGAGCCAGGTGTTGGTGGTGTTGCAGTATTTTGACTAGCCTGAGCACGAGCTATTAATGTAGGTATATAACGTGGAAATTGAAGCATTGCTTGTGTTCGATAAAGATATGAACTCATGTTTCAGAAAAATCTAAAAACAAAAGAGCAAGACGAAAAGAGAAGAATTGGATATCTAATTGACTCTATTTTTCTTTTCTATTTTAAGAACTAGAATGGAGAAAAAGAATTTTAAAGTTCATGAATTCGGCTAATAATGTTTTTAGTGGTCTTTGGCGTTGGCTGGTTTACTAACACCTTCATGAGGCTTTTTTGGATTATTGTCTACAGCTAATTTAGCATGAACATCAGATTCACCCTGAAGATCTGGTCTGGTCATACGAGCTTGTTTATCTCGAAAGTTTGCTTTTTGATCAGGTGAATTACCAAGTAACATTTTATAAGCTGCATCTATAAAAGAAATATATATGTATAGTTTCCGACAATTTCAATTTAATAATTCTGTTTATTTACAAAGTGATAGAACGGCAACAGCTGCTAAACCAAATTGACCAGTAGGAGTTTTCAAAATCGATTGATGTCTATATAAAATAAAAATTTATTGAAATATGAAAGAAAATTCTATGTTTTTCATACGCTGTATCTGAGCCACCTTTCTTATGGGATTGTTTAGCATCTCCTGTTGTTTTCGTTGGATTCGTTTTGTCATGAGCTGTTTGTGCACCTGGTAACATACTTGCACTACTTCCACCACCAATGCCAGTTCTTTGTGTAGCGGATGGGCCATCAGTAGCAATGAATTGTCCAGAACCAGAAACAATATGATGTCCTTTGGCATCAGCAACTTTAACTGATGAACCTGGTGGTAAATTATGTGCATTCATTCGAGATACATAGAAAATATTTGTTGTAGCACGTGGTACAAGACGACAAAGATGAGACATTTTATTTCTTTAAAAGTAGATATCTAAAACAGTTTTTATAAAATATTCTCCAGCATTATATGCAAAATTTGATCTAGATCATAAGAAGAAAGAAAATAGTGAATACCAAAAACAAAAATACTTCGTAAACTTTAAAATAATTCCTATTGGTTAATTAACGCCATTACGTATTTATGTTGGATCTCTTTCTAGAAAATATACGCATATTATTATTAAAAAATATTAAATTATAGAGCTTTTTTTCCTTCGCAATAAAAAAACGTCCTTAAGAATATCAAAAAAAAATAATGAATAGAAATGAGGCAATAATTCATTTACATTGACGCTAGCGACAAGCGACAAGGACAACCAATTTATGTTGAATACAAATCTCAAATCAATTTGTCTACATCCGACAAGTGAAATGATTCAGAAATATGTTTCCATAATAATCAAATCAATTTTGTTGCTTAATCTCAAGAAAATTCTTTATCAAAACGTGTGACTATTTTAGAGCTTAGCATAAAAAGATAAACTTGACTGTTTTCAATAATTTTTTTTTATAAATTGAACAAAAGAATAATAAAAAAAAACAAAACAAAATAGAAAATGTATGTGACTAGATTTTCTTCTTAAATCATAATGTCTTCACCTTGCAATGAATTTGAATTGAGACTATCATTATCTTCATAAGGATATTTTTTTAACTTTAATGTTTGTTTTTCATTATTTAAACAATCTTCAGCATCACTTGTTGTTATTATAGTTGGAATTTTTTGTTTTGGTTTATCATTTATTATTTTAGAATCATCTGGTAATGTTTTAAATGAAACAGTTTTTGATGCTGATACTAATAGATGATATTGTTCTTCAGCATCATTACTAACAACAGATTTTGATTGACCATCACTACTTGATATATCATAATTTGTCATTTGATCATTGGATATAAAATTTTTTGATACTGGAAGGTGTGACGTAAATTTAAAGCTACTTACTTGAGCTTTTAATTGTTTAGCTAAACGCATATTTTTTTCTGGATGAACAAGTATTATATAGACTTTAGGCGTAAATAGACAAGCTAATGCAACTGTAGCACATAAAGATATTGTTACACATAATGTCGTTATATGGATCTAGAAGAGAAATAAAAAAAGTTAATAAAAAAAAATTATTTTTTTATCACTTGATGACGACTAGTTTCATAAGCTGTAAAATAAATTGGAAGAAATGCTAACCAAAGAATACATGTTGTATAACAAGTAAAACCAATAAATTTTGTTTCATTAAAATTTTCCGGAACTTTTCGTGTACGTATAGCATACATTGTACATATAAGTACAAGTAAAACATTGTATGTTAATGAAAAAAGAAATGAATGTTTATTCATTTGACATTTAAGTATAACTAAACGATCATCAATTATATAATCAACATATGGATGTTCGTATGCAAGCCATAATAACGAAAGAAGAACTTGTACCATTATTAAACATGTACATATAAATAATTGAGAGTTTGGTGATATATATTGAGGACGTAATCGACCTTGTTTTTTTGTACTTGCAAAAATTCGTGCAATACAATTTGTTTTCGTTAATAATGCTGCATACATCATTGCAAAACCTAAACCAATACCTACACGTTGAATAATACATGTAATTATATGTGGTTTTAATAGTATTGGTAATGTCATTGAATAACATAAATGAATTCCTGCTAACATTATAAAACAAAGTTCTTTTCCACTTGCTTTAACAATAGGTGTTGTTCGTTTTTGATAAAAAACAATAACAACAAATAGAGTTAAAAGATTTCCAATAATTGATAGACTTATTGGTACCATTGCTTGTACAGTAAAAAGTTCAATATAAGTTTCATCAAGTTTATAACATGCTGTTCGATTTACAGTTGGCCAATAACCAATAGAACATGGTTCACAACGTTCTTGTTTTTCGGCACCAACTACAATTGATGTATCATTACATAGTGTACATACCCAACAGCAAGAATCACCTTGAAATTGTTTCACTTCACCTACACGACATGGTTCTGAACAACGTGAAATAGGTATGATTTTTGATGAAGGATTATGAATATTTGTACTTGGCCATACAATTGAATCAATAGCTAAATTAAGTTGTCCAGTTTCATTTCGACCAACTTTCCATTCACCAACAGATACATATTCATAGGGTGATGCATTTGTATCTAAGGATGATGATGATGATGATGAATCTGATCGACGATAATTATAGATACGATAATGACCTGGTACGAAACGTTCAGAATTAAATTGTATTTGTCGAAAATCAGGCACTAGAATAAATAAAGAATTTGTTTTATTTTTTTTCTTCTTCATAACTGTCAATTTAATTAAGTTTAGAATAGATTCTCTCAGCATAAATAATCAGATTGATTATAATTTATTGGTGACAGTAGAAAAGAAAGAAATTTCTTCTGCAACAATGCATTTGTCATTAAATTCATTTGACATATATATATAAAGAAAAACTTACTTGAAAATGGTTTTTCTAAAATTAATTTAAATAATTTTGTACCATTAATACTATTTAATGATACATTATAACATGTTGATGTTGTACAATTAAAATACATGTGTAATGCTTGAGCAAATACATAAGTTGCATCAACAATAAATTGTAATTTACTATCCCAATTTGTTTCATTTAATTGATGTTCACGACATTCATCACCTGAATATAAACGACATCCAAAACGATGCTCCCAAAATTCATTGAACCATGGATTTCTTGGTAACATATATTTTTCATTAGGATTAACTTGATCCTCAAGATATTCTTCATCATATTCTTTATCTGTGTCAGGTTTAAGTGCATTAAAATAACGATCAAAATTAACTGGTTGAATTGAAATAAGTTCAAGCGTCAATGCTCCAACAGCTATTTCATCAGTATCACCTTGAATTACAACTGATGATTCTTTACCCTAGAAATGAAATAATTTAATTAAAAGAAGAAGAAAAAAATGCTATATTTATACCCATGCATCACTAGCAATTAGAACAGGTCGATGTGTTATACTAATTAATTTCACAGCTTGTAATATTTTTCTTGCATCTTCTTTAGTAACAAATAGAACATAAACAGATACTTGTACATCAGATTTAACACTATCGATCATTGTTTGTATTACACTTTTAATATCTTGTACTGATGCATCACGTTTTAAACGTTGTTCATCAGCTATACATATTTGTTGTTGTTTTTTATTTGAATATATTTCATCATCTAATTGTGTTGATACTTTAAGTAAACGTTTAAATT